TGCATATTGTCCATCTTTTCTACTAGACCATTTAACATATTTATAGTTATTTTTAAATGTCTGATAGTTTCAATAGCAAAATCATTTCTGATTCTGTTGATTGCTTTATCTCTTGCCAAAGGGTTATTTTTTTTTTCTTGCTTTTGTGTAATTTTTGATTTTATGCTCATCATTGTGTACGGAAGAATAGGAGAGATTGAAATGATGCTCTTCTTTTGTTAGGCTGTTTGTGTTAGAGGTTGAGTCAGTCTCATCATGAATCGAGCTAGGTTTGGATTCTTTTGCCCTCATTACCTTCATTGTACCACAGGCTTCAAATTTCTCCCAACAGTTGGCTGCTGTTCCCTTGTGTTTAGGGTGTGCCATGTAGTACTACAGGATTTTTCTGTGTTCCTATACCACCCTCATCTTTCAACAGGCTTTGCATATCTGTGCACCAGAGAGATTTCTCTTTATGTTATTGTTCCTCTCCCAGTGATTATTGTTGCTTGTTACCCAGTGCTTTGCTTGTGGGTCAGCATGGGTTCTCTTATTCTAGTCCAGACTCAATCCTGGTCAGGCCCTAAGTTCCTGGGTGTTGGTGATGGGGTTTTCTTAGCTTTTCTGCTCTTTCTCCCTTGTGGCAGTCAAACTATGCCATATATTTGTAGCTGGTCATGGGTAGGAGTATCATTTCCCTCTCTGTGGTAGTTGATCTCTTTTGGTATTGGTGTAGGATCCTTTGCCCAAGACTCTTTCCTGCTCCCCCCCAGTAGTGGCAGAATTATTTTTTGTCTCTACCTTTTCCTAGCATCAGTATATCTTTGCCTGTGTCTGGGGACTTGACACTCTTTTCTCCCCCTCCTCCAGAGGCAGAGGCATTTTGCTTCTATTTTCCTCTGAAGCAGTGGATTTTTGCCTGGACCTTAGGGCTTTCTTTCCTTCCCCTAGTGGCTCTAGGCGTTTGCTCTGTGTTTAAGGAAAGGTTGGGGAATTAGGCAGGGCTTCAGGCTGGTACTTGTCACTTCCTGCACACTTGCCGCATTGATGAAGGGCTCTCTCTGATTTACTTTTAATTTTTCCTGTGAGCACCTGGTTGACACATGTAGAACTTACAGTTGAGTGTAAACTCTTCTTGTGTCAGGGATCCCCAGCCATTCCAAACTGACACATGAGTCTACACTTGGTCTTTAAGAATTTGTTAAAATCTTAGTTGATTTTTTTTCGGGATGCCTGGGTGGCTCAGTCGGTTAAGCATCTTCCTTCAGCTCAGGTGATGATCCTGGAGTCCTGGAATTGAGCCTGGCGTCAGGCTCCCTGCTCAGTGGGGAGTCTGCCCCCCGCCCCCCGACTTGTGCTCTCTCTCTCTCTCGCATGTTCTCTCTCTCTCTCAAATAAATAAATAAAATCTTAAAAAAAAATCTTAGCTGTTTTTTTTCTTACACACCTGTATGGTGGCTACTTCTTTCTCTGTGACCTGCCAAAGGTAAAAGAGATTGTGTTTGGTCTCTTCTTGGAGGAACTTGTCCCTCTTTGAAATTAAATTTACTTGATTGCCTTGTGACCTCAACTCTTTGTTAGGCTTAAGATAAGTTTTGATTTGATAGATCTGGCTTTTTCTTCTGAGGGTGGGATTGACATTCCTTTGAGGCTTTCTGCATTCTAAGTGGAGTGGAACTAGAGTTTTTGACAAGGTATGCTATTTCAAGCAGTTCTTTCTTCTGCGCCCTCCTTCATGCTTTCTCTTGCCTTCTTGTGCCTCTTGAACATTTTTTCCTTTAGGATTGAACCTCAGGGACTATTTCCCCAGTGAAGCCTCTCCTGATACCACTAAGTAGAATGGAACATTTCTGTATTTGTACAACTGTCTTGACTCTTGTATAGCTGTATTTCATTTTTGCAGGCCCACTGAAGCTCTTAGTGAGGTTGGGCAGGTTTTAGAATCTGAGACTTCTCACTCTGAGAATGATCCTTTTTTTTTTTTAAGATTTTATTTATTTATTTGACAGAGCGCACAAGCAGGCAGAGCCTCAGGCAGAAGGAGAGGGAGAAGCGGACTCCTCACTGAGCAGGGAGCCCAAAGTGGGGCTCAATTCCAGGACCCTGAGATCATGACCTGAGCCGGAGGCAGATGCTTAACTGACTGAGCCACCCAGGCGCCCCTAAAAACTATCCTTCTACTTTCAGAATTTATGACTGTAACAGTTGATAGATTTTAGATAGGCTCATGGAATAAGCTTGAGAGAAAAGATAAAGTGATGTACAAGAGAACTTATATTTATCAATAGAGTAAAAATTTGTGAAATCACACCACCTAGGTTCCTGTGTTGTTTGGTTTGTACAGTTGTTGCTCTTGAACTCTAAATTACTTTCAGAAACAAGACTTAAATTTGTGGAATCTAACTTCTTAAAATTGTGGGCTTGGTTACACAAACTAGTATGTATTCACATAATAAAATGCCGTAGAACTTTAAAAACAATGAAGAAATATATCCTAACATGGAAAATCTTCAGGATACACTAAGTGGGGGAAAAAAAAAGGTGCAAAGCTGGACTTTTTTTTTTAGAAGACAGGAGGATAAGACTGTATTTTTAGTTAAGTGTATATTTACATAAAGAGTTGCTGGAAAGGTATAGAAGAAACTAATAAAAGTGGTGACCAGTAGCAATCAAGGGCAATGTGAGCTGCATGTGGATGATACAGGAATGAGACTGTTCAAATGCATGTTCCTTTTACATCATTTTTCAATTCTGAATTTGGAATGAAGTATTGGAACAATTAGCCTAGAAAGGTAAACATCAGAGTATTTATCTGCTATTATTGAAGGTGGAGAAATTTCTAAGCAGAGAAATAGTAAAAGAAATGGAGAAAGCAGCGTTGCATAAATCTGGCCACCTAAAAATAAGAAAACTTTTATAGTAAAAGCCAGCAATTGAGAAAATGTTCAAAGTAAATGGAAGAAATAGTGTTTTTACAATATAAATAACCTACACAAACAGTTAAGGAAAACATGAAGAAATCCCTTTCCCATCCCACCCCCCATAGGACTGGAAGTGGAAGTGTGGCTGAAGTTTGGAAAGAAAGGCAGTATGAGTAATGGGGGAAGGACCTGATTAATGACATGTAAAAGGCTCACTAGATAACATTGTGTCTAAAATTGAATACTTTAATGGTATAGCAGGATCAATCCATAATGTTGGGTGTTTTCTCCCTAGCAGGTGATTGAATTGAACCATGATTAGGAATTTGAGGCTGATGAAGTGGAAGGAAGAAAGTAACATACTAGGGAGATTGATAGCTTGGGTGACAACCAAGATTTTGAGACCAATAATAACATAGTTAACTAACTGGAGAGATGAGACTAGGTGGAGTGCATCTCAGGGATTAAATCTGGACTTAGGTACAAAAGGTAGATTGGGCTATTGCATGACAAAGAGAAGAGGGTAGGACAGCCAGATGGCCTGAGCCTGAGGGAAGGAATTGGATAGCTTATGAGTTAGGGTCTAGACATACCACTGTGGAGAAGGTTGATCCCTACCGCCTTAACCTTCACTCTAGAGGGTTCTTCTTTTATTTTTATTTATTTATTTTTTTAAAGATTTTTATTTATTTTTTGACAGAGAGAGAGAGAGACAGCAAGAGAGGGAACACAAGCAGGGGGAGTGGGAGAGGGAGAAGCAGGCTTCCCTGCCGAGCAAGGAACCCGACGCGGGACTCGATCCCAGGACCCTGGGATCATGACCTGAGCCGAAGGCAGACGCTAAATGGCTGAGCCACCCAGGCGCCCCTAGAGGGTTCTTCTCAAGAGACAGGTTTAGCCCAGGGGTTGAAAGAAGTATTCATTGATAGGTTGAGGATGTAGAGGTGATTTGTTTCACTATATAAGAGAGGTTTCCAGAGGTTCCCCAAGGAGAAGGTTGGAAGGAAGGGCAACAGTAGGGGAAGACATGGGGTGGGTGAGAAAGCACAGAGAGCACTGTGGGTATGAAAATAGGGGAGAGGGTAGCTGGCCGGAATGGTTTGTGTTTTGAGTAAAGCCCAAGGGTGATAGGTGGAAGCCATAGATAGAATTAACTAGCAAGATTCCTGAATCGACCTGTGATATGATGATTTCTCTGGACCTAATCCACTGTGTCTTTGTGATCTAAAGGGAGTATTAAATTTAGTAAAAAGCTTAACCCTGGGTGGTAAAGCCTAAACCAGTTAGGCTTTAAGTAATGAAAGCCAGTAGGTTTCACATTTCTTAAGCATTCTCTGATGTCTGCGAAGTCCCCCCACTGTTAGGAGTTTTTATTTATTTAACTTTTTATTTATTTTTATTTTATTTATTTGAGAGAGAGAGAGCAGGAGAGCAAGTGAGTGGGCTCGAGCTGGGGGAGGGGCAGAGGGAGAGGGAGAAGCAGACTCTCTGCTGAGCAGGGAGCCTGACGTGGGGCTCAATCCCAGGACCTTGGGATCATGACCTGAGCTGAAGAGAGACACTTAATGGACTGAGCCACCCAGGCACCCCTAGGAGTTAGCTTTGAGATAAAAGTGGGAAGACAGTACTACCATTAATTTAAAAAAATCCAATTTGTTCTTATCCCACTGCCAATGACCCAGTAATGAATGCTAGCCATTACATTGAGGTATCTTCTGCTAGGAATCCCATTTCCTCCTTCTGTTCCACTTTACCTGAAACAGGTTACTGAGACCCCTGCTGCTGGGGTGACGTCAGCAACTCCGATGATGAGTAAGCTGATAGTTGAGGATCCTGGCCTCCTAGCTTCATTTGGGATCTGAACCTTTTAAAGCGAGTAACTAATGATCTCTTATTAATTTTATTTATTTAGCCATTAATCTTTAGTTTCAATTTTTAAAGTCTGTAGTGCGGACAAGAATGAGAATTGGCATTTCTTGAACAACTAAAGCATCTGTATAAGAATCTTTGCATGCTTACAGGGAAACAATGATATGCAGTAGAGTCTAAAGTCTGTAATGTTTTCAGTAGACTAAATGTATCTCCTTTCTCTTATTTTAGATCTGTCCATATTAGTGGAAATGTAACTGGAACTGACTCTGGTGATAAAATCAAGGACCATCAGCAAGAGCATGCAGTAGGAAATTTTGGCTCCAAATGAAGACACCAACATTTAGAATTTCTACTTTTTCTAAGGTATTTGAGGCACAAATTTACTTTAATCTGACTCCTTGGAAGTCATTTTATAATGTTGATTTCTATATATAGATTTCATAAGTTTAAAAAGTTTTCATGTTAGAATGGTTAGCTTTTATTTTTTTAAAGATTTATTTATTTATTTTAGAGTGTGAGAGAGCTCGGGATGGGGTGAGGGGCAAAGGCAGAGGGGTAGAGAGTCTTAAGCGGACTCTGCGCTGCGCATGGAGCCTGATGGACGGCTCAGTCTCACGACCCTGACTGAGATCAGGACCTGAGCCGAAACCAAGAGTCAGGTGCTTAACCGACTGAGTCACCCGGGAGCCCCAGAGACTGGTTAGCTATAGAGAAGAGTTCAACCTTCCCTACCCACTTCCCCCTAAAACTAGTTGAGAAAAAAATCCAGATTTTAAAGGGAGATAATCTTTATAATTAGTAAAGCATGTTCAATTAATAAGAAATCTACTGGGTGCAGATTAAGACTGAGTAAACTATGTTAGAAGAACTGGAATAAATAAGTGTCAATTTAGTAATTATTTTATGTCATGACCCTCTGGGATGAGCAGCTGAATTCAGCACTCTAACAGAGTCAGCTCACATGATACATGAGATCTTAAGTGATGTCTTTTAGTTTGATTTGGAAACCTTTTTGTTCCTCTTCTCCTAAATTTATTATTAAGGGTTTTCTGTTCACCAAAAATTGTCACTTTTATTCCTCATAGACTGTTCAAGTAGGACCTTTCTGATCTGTTGGGTTAGTTTCACTTGGACCAGAAAGGGAGATAAGTAATTAAAGAACCAAATGAGACTTCCAAAACATGGGGTGGATCCCCACTTTGAAGACTACATAAGACAGTTGAAAACAATCAAAGGAAATATAGTGTCAACAGAAAATAAACATAGTACTCTATTTTTGTAAATACACATATATTCCAAATTGGATTTAGTTAGTTGTTTATTTAAAAACAAAATATTTTTTCTTTTAATTATGTTTTTCCAAATAGGAAAGAAGTATGGAAAATAATTATTTTAATTAATTTTATTTTATTTTATTATATTTTTAAGATTTTATTTATTTA